AAAACAAATCCATCAAAGCAAAATAATCAAAATAACACCAAAATTATTTAAACAATCACATAATAATTAACAAAATCAATTTAATTGTTAAAAACAACAATCAATAATTAACACAACTATTTTTGTTGAAATATATTCTAAAGTTTCAAATAAAATCAAAAATACACGTTTTATAATTGAGTGTTAATAACAATATTTATTTTTTATCAATGTCTCATAGCCCAATGATATCAAAACCTCCGAAAGTTAAACATGTGTATAAAACACAAGATGAAAAATTGCAAAGTTTAGTGAACACAATGAAAAAACCTTTAATACCACAGTATATTAATGTGATTGATTATTTAAAAGAAATCCCAGATATGATTATTTTTTAAAGATCTTGAGATCAAAGTTAAATCCATGGCATTTGATTCTTTCCGTCAACAAGTACGTTATTGTTTGGAGGAATTGCCAGAAAATGTTTCAAAAATATTAAAAGAAAAAAATGTCTTTTCCCATTGCACTTGACTATTTTTTCGGGACTTTCGAAAGAAAAAGTGTTCGTTGTCAAATCGACAAAATAAATAACGAAAATAAAACTGGTAAAAAAACCCGAAAGGGGATGCAAAAGACTACTAAATGATGAATAAATTATTGTGATACAAAACGCAATAAAAGATAGTAAGACAAAAAAGCAACACGTAAAGAAGCAAGTTTTTTTATTCACGAAAATTTCGACAAAAATATTGGGTCCAAGCAATTGCACAAAATTATGACCCACATTCCAGATGTTGCACCAGTTATGGAAGCAAAACGGGCAGAAGTTACACCCGAGTCAATTTTGCAATATTACATTGAATTGAAAAAGAAAATTGTTGGGTGCCGTTTTGTGCTTATTTTTAACCTCGATGAAGTTGGATTCGACCAATGGGTCGATTCTCATTCAAAAATTGTCTATGCAGAAGTTTCTAGAGGACAAGATGTGTTTAATGAAGTTGAAAGAGAAAGTTCCAGAACAAGTCTTTTGTGTTGTGGATGCCTCGATGGAACCAAAATGATTCCACTTGTTGTAACAAAAAGACTTTTTCTAAAAGATGTTGCTATTATATCCCTTTAAAGTCGGGCTTTAATAAGGACACAAAAATCAGGTGTTTTGAATACTGAATTATACACCCTCTGGTTAAAAAAAGTGTTCTTCCCGACAATTAAGGCAAAAAGAGAACAAATAGGTGTGCGTGCCGATATGAAAGCTTTCCTAATTCTTGATGGCTTTTCAGGCCATTTTTCTGAAGAAATTCAAAATTTATTTTTGGAAAATCACGTAGAAATGATTAAGGAGGTCCCTCACAGTTCCCATTTATGTCAACCAATGGACTTGGGAATATTCGGGAACCAAAAGAAATTTTTGGCGGACAAAAACAACTATCTTTGCCACAAATTCACTTTATTAAAAAAAGAAGGAAAAAAGTGGGAAATTGCTTCAAATAGATTCCCCAGAGTTCAAACAAGCAATGAAAAAAATATATTAACATGTCTGAAGAGGAAAAAATAGAGAGCTAATCTATTCCTGGGAGTGTGTGGCAAATGGAGACAATGTCACGAGCTCTTTTAAACAAGCAGGAATATCATTTGTGCCACACACTCCCAGTGAAAGCGAGCTTCAGGAGATACAAAAGAAGTCGCCAAATTACAATATTTCAGATTATATCACTGGGGTGGTAAAAGTGGACATGAATGGGGCAAGAGAAGTCTGCAAATTCTTGGGTATTGCTGCAGAACCTAAAGTTGTTGGAGCGACCAGAGTTGCTCTCGAAAATTATGAAGACAGAAAAAACGTCTTCAACGTGAGAAACTCACCAACACCAGGAAGCAAAGTCAAGCCAAAAAACCTAGAAAACCCGAAAAATAACTGCGGTTTTAAGTCTTATTTTTTGTCGCAAACCTTTTTCTATAATTAAATTAGGTATTTGTTATATGTTAATTTTATTAATATAATTTAAAATAGTAATATTTTAATCTGAGTATTATATATTAAAACACCCAACAAAAACGACAATTCAAAAATAAATTTGATACATTATAAAATAAATAGTATAAAAAATAATATTTTAATTATAAAGGTTTGATTTACAACAAAAATGGGTATAAAAAAGTTTCAAAAATCTGAAATCAAACAATCATTAATACTCAGAAGAAAACGCGTTTGTTTATCATGATTTTGAACACTGTCAAATAATGAACTTGGGAAATTAAGAACTGAAAATAATGAGAAGGTCGTATATGCATACAAATAATTATTATTCAACGACAATATATATATATATATATATATATATATATTACTGTCCGGAACCACCAGAAGAGACGTTGTTTTATTTAATAATGTTTAAGAGCATAGATTTCAAAATAACAACTTAGGTTATTACAGCTGATTAGTTTATGAAAGGGAAAAGTTCCAAAAAGAAAAAACACAGAAAACAAAGTGATCAACAAATTACATCGTGATTAATCGTAACCAACGAAAATATAAACCATCTCGTTAATTGTGTTAAACGAACTGTTTATTATACTTTGTTTAATTTGTACGGGTTTTGTCTCTATAAATCCAACTATTAATATCACTTTATAAATAGTTCAATGGGTTTCCCGATTATATTAAACAAATACATGTATTATATTATGTATTCTCCCTAATATAAATATATTATTAACAACATATTCGAAACACTTCTAAATAATACTCAGGCAAAGCAAAAATGTTGGTTTTATTTTTTTAAAAAAGGAAAAAAACAAATAACAAAATAATAATTAAAAAACATTTTACCTATTGTTACCAACTTTATACAACATCGCTTTTTTTCCAACATCGGTTTTTTTCAGCCCCTTTAATTAAAAATGATGATTTAAAATGATATATTATTATAATACTAACAATTGTAATTAAATATATACTATTGAAATTATTATGTCTAAATTTGTTTTAATTGTTTACACATAAATTATTTATTACACTTTAAAATAATTTCAATTATTAAATTAATATAAAAATTAAATATTTTGTTGATAAAATATATTTAAATTTAAACTCAAATAACACTAAACATAATCACACATTACAATTATATTTAAATTTTTCACATTTTGTTGTGTTTGTTTATTATTTTAATTACTTTAAATTATAAGTAGATTTCTCAAAGCTTTTTAATTATTTGTGACTTTAATATTTATAAAACAATAACGTGTTATATTTATTTTTACACTTAATTGAAATTGATTATATATTGAATAAAATACACAATTGAACTTTAACAACAAGTAATCTTTAGGTTGAATCATTTAATTTCCAATTTTTATGTTTGAAAATTAAACAATTTTAAAATACAGTTTATTTTAAATATTCACCTGGTCATATTTTAATTGTAAAATTTTAATACACAATTTAACATATGTATTTTTTTAATTGACATTCTTAGTTGTAATACAACTTTTTTTATTACACCCATCTATAAAAATTAAATCATAAACGAAAAAAACAATATTTAGAACAAGAAAACGAATATCGTTAAAAATAACTTGAAAAATACCAATAACTTTATGAATAAAAATAAAAACTCTACAGACTGAAATACATCGGATTATTTAATTTTTATATACTTATGTGTATGTTTCACATTTTATTACAATTTATATTTTATTAAACAAAATAACAAGTATTGAAACAAATGAATAGATTTGTTATTATTTCTCCTTTTAAAATTCATTCAAAATATCACCAATTGTTTATCGCAAAATCCCAATTATACAATCTGACAATACAACAAAACATTACAACAAAATAAATTCCATAAATATAAACAATCGAATCATTTAATTTAAAAACTATAACAAACTAAACACAAAACGACTCACAAAATAGATTGATTTGTTATATCAACGTTTTGACAATAAAAGACCATTTTCTAAATATCTTATCATTCACTTCACATGAAAAAGATGTTTTGCAACCAATGCGAACAAACGGCCCGAGGTACTGGATGTACTGTATGTGGTGTCTGTAGTAAAGAAGCAGTTGTAGCCAACACCATGAATGTATTAATCTACACTCTTCGCCAGAACGCACTAGTAGCTTTAAAAGCTCGAGAGGAAGGTATCATCGATGATAGCTATGACATTCTCACATCAAATCTTCTTTTTTCCACTTTAACGAATGTGAACTTCGATGAAAAGCGTCTAGTCGAATACACGAAAGAGGCAATAGAAGCTCGTAAGAACTTAATATCCAAAATGAAGCCACAAGCATCACGAAATGAATTAGAGTCTGCTAGGGAGATCGAAGACTGTGAAAAGTACATCAAAGAGAATTTGGACAAGAAGCACCCCAATCAACTGAATGACGACAAAGACATTCAAAGTTTGATGCAAGCGATTTTATTTGGGTTAAAGGGAGTCTGTGCGTATATCTCACACGCCTATTTATTAGGCGAGAAGAACACTGAAATCAACACTTTCATACACCAAGCCTTGGCCGCTGGCTTTGATAACAAAGAACGTGACTTAAAAGCTTGGATTGACTTGGTGAAAGAGACTGGAAAATGGAATTTCGAGACTTTAAAATTGTTAGATAAAGCCAATTGCACTTTAGGCAATCCAACACCAACTTCCGTCTCATTAGAAAGGTAAGTGTATATTTGTAAGTGGTCACGATCTCTTCGACTTGAAAAACATTTTAGAACAGACGCAAAACACTGGGATTAATGTGTATACTCACGGTGAGATGTTACCGGCTCATGGATATCCAGAACTTAAGAAGTACACAAATTTAGTCGGGCACTTTGGGACTGCGTGGTACAATCAACAACACGAGTTACTCAATTTCCCGGGGCCGGTGGTGTTCACTACCAACTGCCTAATGAAACCGAAGCCTGAATACGCTGAACACATTTTTACAACAAATGAAGTTGGATATGCGGGGTTGATTCACGTTGGTTCAAATAAGGACTTTAAAGTGGTTATTGAGAAAGCCCTTGCAATGGATGGCTTTCAAGATGATAAGAAAGACGGCGAAGTGTTAACAGGATTTGGTCATCATGCGTTGCTTGAGACTGAAATCACAGAGAAGTTAGTCTCATATATTAAGACGGGGAAGATCAAAGGAATTTAT